CTATCTTTGTCTTTAAAATTTGTTTATTACTTGTATGGATTGCGAGTAATTGACACTTTTATCATTTGGATGAGACTTCCATGTATTACACATCTTTCATAGATTGGAGCTTCACTTTTGTTGGTGTCTATTAAATTAACAGTGACAATTTGGAAAATACTAATGTTTTAAGAAATTGATCAAGTTTACTGTTGCTCCCTCTAAATTATGCGAATGTTGAGTAACTACTGAAATGTTGTTGATTTTCAGGTCAGTTGAAACCCGTATTCTCTCTTTTGTTGTGGGGAGGGCATTTGGAATAGATATTGAGAAGTTAAAAATCAGTAGTAAATCAAGATCTTTGGATGTTGGGAGGGTGTTGAGATTTTTCTCAGAAGTCACAAAGGTTTTTCTTTGGATGCTTATATTTGGTTTAGTATATTTCTACTGGGCTGTGGCTCACCCTTTATGGGAACATCATTTTCAGGTTCAGGTGATAAACTACCTCCAAGGACTTAGCTTGGGAGGGTTTGGTTTCTGGATTTGAAGAAGACTATCTTTAGTTAATTGTCTTTATTTATTAATACATGTAAACATTCAAGCCTAGGGCTTTTCTTGTATTGAGTTAGAACTCATATTTTTGTATCCAAGTGTTGGCTTGGAAAAGATGTAAGCCAGTAGGGCATTTTATTCGATGTTACATGTAATGCTTCATTTAGTAATACTCTGATGAATGAATTAATAAATTGTTTTCTTTAAATAATGCATGTCAATGATATATATATAATGGGTTAATTTTGAGGGCGTGACAGAAACCATTTATATCACATACTTTACCTTTTTATTCATCGAAGTATGATAATAAAAAAATGAAATCATTTATTTTCTTTCTCAAAGGATAAAGATACCACAAACATTTATTTTATTTTCAAAACTCTATCACAAATATATCAAATATTTGTCTGGAATCCGAATATATCAAAGATAGACATGAAAATAGATAACTAGATATATGTAGTTATCTATGACTATCGAATACATTGTAAAAGAAAAAAAGGTCAGAAACGATTTTTATTCAGATTGTTTCATTTCTCACAACCTTAACCAATCATGGGGAATAGTAGAAACATCATTGTCATTTATTTCAGTGTTTTCCACTTTCTCTTCTTCTTGTGCATGCTTGGAAGAACCCTTCGAATTCAATTCATCAACTTTCTGAGCCACATTTTTCTTAAGCTCCACCATAGACCTTTTTAATTGTTCAGGCTGTTGCAAGTCAAGTTGATTAACATATGCATCAAACCTACAACTTAGCAAGCCATAGTTTTTGTTACTCATGTTTTGAAAAATTTTCTCTTTCTTTTTCTCGACTTTCAATCGCTTGCTCAGCTCATGGAATTGTTGGTTGAGTTGGTGCACAGTGGCATCATCATGCCGCGAGGCATGGCTGGAGACGCCTTCACTTGGCAGCGCATTTTGGTTCAGAAAGCGGTCTACAACCGAGTCAACATTAGGTTTTCCAAAAGAGAAAGCCTTGCCTCCCATGGAGAAGAGGACAATTGCCATATCTACGCCAGATTTTTTTTTGATCAGCAAAAGAAGAACTTTATTGATGAAGATAAGATACAGAATATGGAAAAACATCAATAAAGAAGAGGCACAAGAAAAGCAACAAAGAGAACACTCTAAATCCCAGTTAGGGGCTGAAGGAACGAGACCCTAACAAGGGCAAGCTGAAGTCAAAGTTGGTGAGAGACCAACAAACCAAAATGCAGAACAGCTGGGAAAGCAAACAAGGCACCAAGGTATGAAAACAACAAAAACAGCAAAAATAGCAAAATGCAGCTAGGCATCAAGATGCATACACTTTACCGTGACAGCAGAAACTAGGGCAGAGCAGCAAACCAAAAATGATGCAAAGCATAGCAAAGTTGAAGCACAGCAAAGCAGCAACCATAAATCAAACCAGAAACATTGAGCATGGCCACCACGAAGATCTTCTAATACCAGGTATACACCCACTTCCCCTTGCTTCCAACTGCATACCAGCACTTAGAATCAGCCCATGTAGCATCAGACCAATACACCAGCGAACCAGCAATGAGCATGCTTGACAG